AGTTTTATATTAACTCTTTCTTAAGAATCTTGTTGGTTATAAATCGTATATATTCTGCTAGTTTATATGGCATATCAACACCACTTTCTTTGGTTATCCTATTAATTGCTATATTGCAAGAGGAAGCATACTAGCTTGTCTATTTACGCCCCCTCTTCGTCTAAAACAGAGGCTGTGGGGGAGCAATGGCAGCGCAGTGGTGTGCGAACTGTTGATGGGTTTGAGGTCAGTGACTTGAATCAAGGTTGATCCGCAGGTAAGTGCTGGCTGTGCAGCTTCAGACCAACCCTGTCACCTTGTGCTTCCACTTGCTGAAACTCACTCCAAGATACACAGCTAGAACATGGAACAACCAAAGTGTGTGTGTGTGTGTGTGTGTGTGTGTGTGTGTAGAGAGAGAGAGAGAGAGGTGGATGTGTGTACATGTGTATGCACATGGATGTTGAAGGCTGAGGTTGGCATGTGTCTTTGTTTAATCACTCTCCAGCATCATTTTTTAGAGCCAGGTCGGTTCTTTCACTGAAACCGTCACACACTTATTTGGAAAGCCTAGGTGTCTGGTGTGTGCCAGAGACTTCTGTCTCCACCTGCTTCATCCTGGGGTCACAGCCCCATGACATCACCCCTGACCTTTTATGTAGGCTCTAGAGATCCAAGTTCAGGTCTTCATCCTTATTTGGCAAGCATGTTGCTATATGAGCCTTAATTTTGGTCCTAAGTTTAGAGCACCTTCTACTACATATCGCCCCCCCCCACACACACTGGGGGACAGTGTAGTTGAAAACCTAATTCTTTGAAGTATCATGGGAACAAAAACTGTGAAGGTCGAACTAGCTGCTTCCCTTTAAGCCCCTGATGGCCTGTGTCTCCAAATGCATATGCATTAGTTCTTCTGCCAGGATATGGGGGGGGGGGTTACACCTGTCCCTGTTCCCATAATACTTGAGGTAGTTTATTGCTCAAGCTAATCTTTACCTGCTTTCAGTGACTCAGCGAAGGGATCATCAAGTTCACATGCTGATGCGAATAGAGAGGGAGTAACAGGCGTTTACGATCTATTGAGAGGCAAGCATGGACACATCCAATAAACGTTTCTATGCAAATGGAACGTTCTGCTTAAGTCAATCTGTTAACGTGCATGTTGTAAGTTCCATAGATGCACTGCAAATAAATCAATAAACAGATGAACAAACATCGTGGTTGACAGGTTGAGGAGACAGCAAAATCAACAAGCCTCCCTTCCTAGACCCCTCAGCCTGTGGCAGACTGTCATGCAAATCAGAGAGGATCTAGGCTCAGAATGCTCATACTCCTCCCTGAGGGAGCACTCTGATCAGATGGACGCAACTCGCTTGGCTGTCCAGTGCAGCATGAGGCAGAATTAAGACTGACAAGTCCTTGTGGCTATGACCTCAGAGTTACCCTGTCTCTGGAATGAGTGAGGTCTCAGGGACGGTCACAGGGAGAAGTCCCCTCAATGGGAGGGAGCAGCAGCGGGTCTATTGACACGCACGAGTCGTGGCTTTCTTTTTGCCATCTTGAGACTGTAGTTTGACCTGGTGATGATCTTTAGAACTACTAATGGCTTCGCACGTCCTGATTCTAATGGAGAACAGTGGCTCTCAGCTGGAACTCCCTTTGTCCCTTCCTTATCTCGGAGGATCTTTGGCTGTATTTGGAGACAGTATTTTGTGTGTCACAAACCACGGTGTGTGGTGAGTGGAGAGAAGCCTGGAATGCTGCCAGACAGCCCTAGGTGCACAGACAACCACTGTGACCCGCATGACAAGCATTTCCCTAGGTCCTGGTGTCAGTAGTCCAGAGGTTAGGGCCCTGATTTGGAGGCTCTGGCAGCACTGGATGGTTGGCCCTCTAAGGGATGTTAAGCAACTTTACTTTTGCAGAATACTTTGAGATCTTAGGATAAAAGTTGCTGTGTACGTTTTTTAAAAGAAAAACTCATGTTGCTACATGCTCTCAGGTTTCAGGGAGGCTTTTGACAAGGTCTGACTCAACTTTTTCCCGAATTTTAAAGGGACATGTAAATCCCCTCCCTTCCCTTTCTCTCCCCCCCACTCTCCTCTCCCCTCTTGTTTTCTCCCCTCCCTCTCCTCCCCTCCTTTTCCATCTCCTCTCTTCTCCCCTTGATTCCCTTCCTCTCCTCTCCCTTCTTTCCCCTCCTTTCCCTCTCCTCTCCTCTCCCCTTCTCCTCCTCCCCTCCCCTC